TTTATTTTATTAAACTCTTCACAACCTTCATGAATGTACCCAAAATTTAACGATTGAAACTTTTTTATGCATGACAAATTAAAGGAATTATTTTAAAAAAAAAATTTTCATTTTTATTTTTTGAAGAGTTTCGTATCATAAATTTAAAATTTGATGGGTTTTTCTAAAATTTAGAACATCTTGACACATAACCAACTAAAAAAATTTGGTCCACCAGGAGTATTAGCGCATCACCAGGATAGGGACATGGGATTTACCTTTATCCACTTCTCTGTAAATTTGTAATATATTAAAAAATAAATAAATAAAGGAATTGGGCCTATTGATCAGTAAAAAAAAAAGAAATTAAAATTAAAATTTATTTCAAGCAAGACACTTTTTTTTATGAAACAATTGAATAAATTAATTGGTTTGAAATTATCTATAAAAATAATAATAAGAGAAATAAAGGTTTGCATCATAACTATATATAGATGAGGAAATATTTTTTTGCAATAACTTAACTAATTACTCTTCAAGCTTCTTAAAAAATATATGTTATTATTATTTTTTAATTAATTAATAATTTAACCGTTTGCTCCGTTGAATCTTTTAACCGAACCATTATGACATCTTCAGGGACGATTCTAAACACAGATTGAGATTTCCTTCTTTCTCTTGTGGGCTACCAGTCAAAGATGCGATTGCAGTTTCATGGCAAGGCTCAAACTTAGGTGACGCTGTTGGGTTTTGATCCTCTGAATGCACGAATAAAGAAACTTACTTTCCTCCCTCTTTCTTTTTTCACTATCAAAATTTTGATTTTGGAGATACTCTTGATTGTTCAATTTCTAAGTCTGAAGTTTGAACATTCAATCCGTCGCTGTCACGTTGCAGAAGACGGAAGCTAGCATCGACTAACCCAGGCCCCATGTCGATCGCTAGCTAGTTTAAAGATTCAATCTTCTTATTGTAAATGAACATAGTAACGAATCTACAAGTTTGGGAACAATGGATGGCAGAGGCAGATCACTCGTTCTTCTCTGTCTTTCATGTTTGCTGATTCCTGCTTGTTCTACGACTAATACTTTAGAGCAAGGCAAACAGCTCAGATATGGGGAGCTGCTGAACTCATCAAACGGTCGCTTCAGTTTAGGATTCTTCCGGTTTTCCAAAGATTCAGATAAATCTTTCTTAGGAATTTGGTATAATGATCACAGCTCCAATTATGAAGTTAACGGAGTTCAGGATCCAGTTTGGATTGCAAACCGGAACAACCCAATCTTCAACAGTTCTGGAATTCTCTCA